CCCAATCAAAAAGGAAATCCAGCTTCTTCAGTTGTCAACAGGTTTGGTCCCACATACACAATACTTCGTTATTTATCTCAGTGTTATGTAAGGAGGAAATTGCAGCCTTTCAGAATTTGATTTTCAACTACATTTACTTTTCTATAATTTTTAGTGTCTTGAATGATTAATACTTCACTCTACCACAGTTTAACTACTGTCATGGCATGGACATTTGCTTCGATGGAACACAAAAATTTTTTTTAAGTCCAAATATTTGCAGCACTTTGTAAATCTGGAAAATTCATTCCTCTCTAAAAAGTGATGTTTTCTAGTATAAATTCACACCATTATTAACCAAAAACTAAGCCATTATTTTTAATCAGAAGTAAGTTTTGATTATTTTTTTTAAATAAATTTTATAAAGTTATCTATAACTGGACCATAAAAGCACAGTTAGTGCAGAAAGAAATGAAACATACAGTGTCAGACCACTGTGTAGAACAAGTGTTTTATCTTCCATTCAACACGTGAAATACGAAGCAGGTTAACTGATATTTTAAAACATATTCTATATTTCATATCTATAATTTCATATGTTAAAGTGATTCTTTCAATATATAATACTAAGAAACTACTGAAATGGCTACATAATCACCAAATTAATATTCCATGTGATGCAGGGTGCTGACTGAAATATCCTAACCTATAGAAATTGAAGGAGAGAAATTCTTTACTTCGTTGAGTCGTTTAACTGCTTTTCCAGAAGTGACTCCAGCTCCAGTACAGTAGTATTATTATTGTTTCCAAGAAAATTGCGTTCTCATGTTAAACACATTTATTTTCATATATATTGGAGTTTAGCTGGAAGAGCACAATGCTGTTATCAAGATTTGCAAAGGCATATAGGAGTAGAATTTGGTGAAACAGTCTTTTTCTTTCTTTTAGACAGCTATTCCACAGGTTTATTGTAGTAATTTCATGCACGTAGCTGTTTCTATCCACAGGTATATGTTATCTGTCCTCAGAATTACAAGATACTAGATGAAAAATGTTTTGGGGTGGGTGAGCTTGAACCTTTGAAATGGCATGAAACTTACAGCAGAACTGAGATCTCTGTGTGCTTTGAAGCAAAAAGAATGACATCCATATCTGAAAGTACTAATAACTGGTTCTGTTAAGAAAGTATCATATTCTTAAATAACTAACATGTCCTGACAGACAGCATCATTAGTTCACTTGGGGCTCTCCGAGTCTCATTTATTATTAGCTTGCTGCTCTGAGTCAGTCAGCCCCATTTGTTAGTAGGTTCTTATTAATTAATTTGACAGCGACCATGCAGATATTGTTCTATAAAACATTATTTTGTAACAAAAAAACCCCCTTAGCAATAGGTCACACGTTTGAGCCAGTGATCTTTAATATCATTATGCCCTTTCTCTAAATACTTGTATTAATCCAATCACGATGGTTTACGACTTGCAGTAGATTCTGTAAGATAGTATAATTTGATTACAACTATCACATCAACAATATATTCCATAAGAAAGACTGGCTTTGAAATTAATAATCTTCCTAAGAGTATGTGACTTAATGGACATATCAATTTAAGCCTTTATGTCAATATCCTGCCTCATACAAACCTTGGAAATTTATTGTTATTATGGAGAAGCTTGATTTAATGCAAAAGCCAAGTCGATACAATGCATTCTCTATAATGAATGACAGAATCGCTAAATAAATGAGATTCTGAAAAACCATAGTCAATATGTAATGAATACTGATAGACAATCATATCTGCAAAAGATGGGAAAGCCTTAACTGCCCTGTGCGTCTTAGGAAATTGTTCATTTTGCATGTCATCAGAGAACAGCATCAGAACAAAAGTAATGCCACGTATTTTTACAATTTATTTTGAATAGTCACTACAGGTTCCAGATGAGCAGCCCTAAAGACCTAATACGTCTAAAGGTAAAACAGGAATGAAATGGAAACGATATTACAAGTTCCTCTGTACTGCCTGGTAGCAGGCCGTAGCGAGATGCTCGCAGGCCAGCTGCAGGGAGCAGCCTGTCCCGAGCCCTCTGTTCTGCGATAACAGCGCTCCCCGAAGGAGCAGTGAGAACTGGCTGAATCCACCAACTCGTTGTGCACTGGCCACTGACCACATCCAAGAGATTAAGGGCTACCAGTCAGTACCAAAGGAACTTGGATTTGTACAAAAATTGTAACTACAGGCATGGAATTAAGTGACAGAGGATGATCTGACAAAATAATTCAATTGATAGAACCATTGTTACACCTACAGGTATTTTACAGGAATAATACAACTATCTGGGATTCTTAGTACCAGCTGGTCAACTTCTTCAGCAGTCTTTGCTGATTCTGGTAAATAAGCAAAAGCAGTAGGACCTGTGACAGACGCATACAATTCTCTCAAAGACAGGGCATTTTTGAATGTCTTGAGGTGCTAAAAATTTGGGCATTCATGTCACTAGGTGTCTCCTGGCAGTCACGCAAATACCTCACCGACTCTCACAATACACAGGTGTGTAAAGTGGGAAAGTGATCTTGTGAAGCAAGACTTTCATTAATTATTTTTTGAGATTTTAGAGAAACCACAGATGAGCTTTCAAATGGATTTGCAATGCACTCATTATGGTATCTTGTGTCACAAAGTGAACGTTGTTTGCGGACTGTAATCTTAGGAGCTGATAGACATCTCAGCTAAAGTTAATAAAGAACAATTTGTACACAGTAAACAAGTTTAGTATTTTTAGGTGATCTACAAACATACATTAAAAATTACAAGAGGCAAGATAATCATGAATGAAATAATTTTGAGCCAAATGTAGATACCAAAAAATTCCTTCTAAACAACTAAAAAACAAAAATTTAGTCTGCGCTAAATGAGATTTCTTAACATTCGCAACTTTCTAAATGAGTAATTTATGAATTATTTCCTGAAAACGAATACAGCTTCATATGGCGCATACATCACAAGGGTTTTCCTTCAGATTTACTTGCAATTCAGTGTTAATAGATGTGTGTCATATTTCTACTAACCAAGTCTCCAGTTTCTGAAAAATGAACTGAGAATTATTTCAAAGTGAGACCATCATTACAGCTACTTTTCTTTCCAACAAAGACTAAATTATCAGTAGTGTATCAGATTGAAGAGTTTGGAGAAGTGCTAACTGACAAGGTACTCACTTTCCTTTCTCCTTAAATAAATGTTCTGTTGTATTTTACACAAAACTCCAACAGTAATTAATCTTTTAATAAAAACAAATCAGCTAGCTCCCAGGCTGGTCTTTTGGGTTTTTCTATTTATCTATTTATTTTGTAAATGAGATCTCTCACTGACTGAAAAATATTGGTTCATTTCTGTGACGTGGTTTTACTTTGTGGTGTTCCACCTACTGAAATTTCTGATCTGAAGAGTGAATTCCGCTTGTCTTTGCCACGTTTTGCTATTCAGTGCAATCCATAAGCTACATACTGCAGCGGCAGGAATCCCGCACTTGGGGCTCACACCCGGGCCTGCTGGTGCTGCTCACTGTGTGGGGTGAAGCCCGGCTCACACCAGGAGAGCCACTGAAAGTGACGGGACCACTGACCTGACTGGACATTACACCGTGGTCACAGGTTTGCAGCACAGAAGTTCCAGTTTGGTAGAACTTTAGTAAACCACTGAGGTAAAAAATCTGTTATTAATCATCAGCTTGGTTTTTCTGCAGGGTATCAGTAACTACTGACATGAGATTTTAGTATAATGAATGGATAATAAAGTGACAAGATAAATCAATTTAAGTAACATTATCCAAAAAAACTTCTGAGAAGAAAGACATTCTTACACAAATGAAAACCAGAATACAATTGATAGAAAATGTGAATGTGCACTGCTTAAACTTAATGAAGAGAAGAAGATAGCTAACATATAATTAACTGCCTACGGCAGTGCAGCTAACAGACACTGAACTGGATTCCAGTTAAGCCACGTCAGGGCTTCCATCACTTGTAATAATTCTTGTCACTTTTTTTGCAGTTATTCTTACAGTAGTACCATTACAAATTACTTTTCAATAAGAGGTGATGGGTAACAGGCACTTTCATTACAGGCAACTTTTAAGTATCACTATGTGAAGGGTTTTACAAAATCAGAGTAAGAATTCCACACCGTCCTGGTAACAATGTAACATCATCAACAAAATAATAACAAAATACAACCCATAACTTGAAAACGCTACTTTGTAACATGCTAATTTTGTGTATCCTTGTGGTGGTTTATAGAAATCAATAATATTGCACCCAGCCTTACAGTAAGACTGAAATTTCGCTAAAAAATTGTTACATTCTCTGATTTGAAAGAATCACTTCCCACAAATGAAAGCTATTGAGAATGTCTATCTAGAAATGCACAAAAGCTATTTTTCCACCTGTCATGTTTTTTCCTTATCTACTTTGTCAAGTTTTTTTAAAAACCTTTGTCTATGTCAGAGGTTTACAATAAAAAAAACCACAGTCTTTCTATTTACAAAAGGTAATAAATTAGTGAGGTTCCTTTAAGCATATTCTTCTGACATATTAAGTAATGATAATCATAACTGTTCTTCTAAGGGAAAAAAAAATTGTCTTGACATAATACCCATGTCCTTCCAGAACAGAAAAATGTACCTGTAGAAAGGGAGACAACACAATACAAACAAGGAATTCATCGTAACAGAAGAACTCCAGAACAACAAAGGAGAATATGTGCAATGCAGCTTTACAAAACAAAGAAAATGCCTATCAGTTGGCAGAGCCCTGGTGAAGAGCCCTCGCATTCTTTTGAGAAAGTGATTACCACCTTCCAAAGTAGTTAATCAGGATATGACCCTTAATAATGAATGTCTCTTTTCAGGATTTAAGTTGATGCAGCTGTAGTCTCTTCAGGAGCTGAAATTAGAAATACAGGCTAGGAAGGAATCACAGAAGAACTTAAAGTGTGTGGTGCCAGTGTTCACAATCATGAAAAAGGGTCAGAGATCACCACTCTGAGGTTCCAGGCTTCGTGGCTCTCTTTGATGGCTGCGAGATAGTTTGGGGAAGCGTGTAGCCACTCTCGAGCAATTGCTTTTGCTTAATGGTTCTCCAGAAGGTGGAATATCACTAGGAAGACAAGAAATCAAGACAGAATTAGCTAGTTTATGCTATATGTAAATTATTCTGTAGTTACTCCAAACATGAAAAAAGCAGATGTTATGAGAGCCTGGCACATGACTGCAAAGTACAGCACACATCTTCAACTACACAGAACTGCATTCTTTCTACTGGTATCTCAAGGCTGAGTTACAAAATGGGCTCTGTCAAACATGAGAACTAGTAGAACTTTCAGTACTTTTTATGGAAGATTGCAAATTACAGGATAAAAGCATATCTCTATGAGTTGCAGTTCAGAAATGGTGGGAAAAGCATTTTGAAGTGATAAAAGTACAAGCAAAAGAGACAAGAGCTTGGATGATGCTCTACTTAACAGTCCTCTAATTATGGATGGATGTATCGTTGCATGATGAAGTACATTAGTAATACATCCCTGTTGGGAATTCTTCAGTCTCTTCTGACCCACAACAGACTACAGTCTTACATGAACGAGCCTTTTGGGAAAGACTCCGAGAAGAAGTACATTAAGTTCAACAACAAGCAGTAACAGAAAATTCCAGCTTACCTAGGTGATATTCAGAGGCTATAGACTCCTCGGAAAACTACAGTATAAAGGGATAGCGTTGTACTTTTGCCATTCTTTTAGCAGACTCCACATGGTTCTTAATTATACTGCTTACATACAGATTAATAAATAAAATAAATTTTGCATTTTGCAGCTCAGCTAGGCAATAAAATTACACAGCATACAAAGCCAAGCTTATTTTTGTAAGTTTAAAACAACCTTTTAATTCTTATCTTCAGAGTGAGTTGACAAGTCCATAAGGGAGGAACTGCTCATCTGCAGTTCTTGCCAGATTAAATACAGATATTATTTTAAGACAATAGCACTGAATTTACTCTGTGTAGTTCCCTTTTTCCTGCAGTGACCCTCCTCACAGGTCAGACAGCCCTGCAAAAGCCATAGGCTCCACTCGTGCATTCTGAGCACCCACGCAGGAGAGATCTTAGCAAAGCAAAAGCCTTTAACAAGTCCTGGGACTGAGTCGAAAATTCACCTGCAGGAAGCAGAGCACTTCTGCAAGACAAGGCAGTGGCATTGCTGGTAGCCGTTACCTTTGTAACTACAATGCACACATTGGCTGTTAGGCACTAAAATAATACTAAAAAAAGAAGGTATAGAAAAAACATGTTCAATTCAGATGCTAAACATGAACAGAAAATAAAATGATGGTTTTTAATGGCAATGTATTTTGTTTAACTTTCCAAGCAGAACAGTCTAAAATAACCTTAGTTAAAACAAGAAAGCTTTTTTCTAAACTAAGATTCACCACACTCCTATTACAATATCTAGTCTTCCTAGGAAGATAAATTACAATATTTAGTCTTACTAGGAAGTCCTTCACGTGAAAAAAAAATTGCATAAAATACCTGTGGTATACATCCTTCTCTTCTTTAATAACAAGATTAATTCAGTTAGATCCTTCTTTATTTTTCTTGTCACTAAAATAAAAACTCTAAATAGCATATGTTATTAATTCTTGGTAACCAAGGATAACTGGACTTCCAAACCTGGTCCCATGATTTCTTATTTTGAAATTCAGTAATGTTATCTAAGTTGCTGTAAAGAATTCTGATCATGTGAACTCAATTTCAGCTGTGCTCATTATCATGGATTTCTTTTAGTAACATGAATATTATTACTCATTTTATTTTTATTTATTATTACTCATCATTTTTATACTATTTATAAAATTGCAGCAATGCAGTGTTGATACTCTAAGGCATGTAAAATAGACCCTGGGATACTGGCTTCAGAGAGTTGTGATTCTGTGTTAAATATGAATTTTTCAAAACATAAAACACAAAAGCATCTAAATATAAACACACAATGGAATAAAATTAAATTTTCAACTCATTAGTCTTTTCTCAATCTAAAATAGGTTGATTTCCCAGCATGATGGCCACTGCTGATAGTACTTTAGCTTTACCAGGCAGACAGACAGCTACTTTGCGGATACACAGTAGTTTACATTGCAGAAATAAGCATGGTGTTATGTGCGATTACCATAATGTGGTGATTGTTTAATTGCAAGCACATTTTAATACACAAGCTCCTCCTGCTGGCCTGTCCACAAAATGACAATTGTGTCAGCCCAAGTGGGAAGTCACTTTTCCCTTCTGGAGGAAAAACACCATTCCAAGAAAAAAAGTGCAAAAGGTGCAAAATGAATTCCCCTAAAATGAAGAGATATGAATTAATATCAGCCTGTCCATGGTAGGCATGGCTGAGGTACTAAGATCATCTTAGGATGATTACATGAACACCTATGCCTGTGAATCAAGGACAAAAATTGCAAGTAATTCTGCTAATTTAAATGAAGCTACTCCAGAACGAGATATATCTAATAACCAAATTAGAGATAATTTGTCTTAAATGTCTTAGCTAATTTTTATAATGACAATCCGAATTCTAAGACAAATCATTATGTTATGCAGGTTTACAGAAACCAATTTGTATCTGAGGAATTAAATCCTCATGCCTCCGGGATGAAAAAGGTAACTGGAGCTGAAATTGAATTGATCAACTTCCATAGAAACAGATGTTGTATGGGGAAAAAAGTTCCGAGTATTAAAAAAAAGTCACACATTTAAAAGTGTATGTCTTAAGCCCCTTTCCATTCTCTCTCCTCCAAAACCTGGTAACTTGCTGTCTCACTTACCTGTTCCAGCTCTAGCTTTTTACTCCACAGTTAAAATGCTGAGTTTCAAGTAACACCCACAAAGTTTAACTAGAAATTTGGGAAATGCATGGTAGTCAAGTAGGAGGAAAAGATTAATCTCCCACCTCTTCTGTCTCCTGTTACTAGATTTAATAATTTAGTTCTGGCCTTGAGGTCAAATGATACTTACAGAGTTTCTGGCACTAAACAAGGCACCTTTTTAAATCTATTAACAGTTCGACAGGGCAGATATGCCATGAACTCTTGGGCAGAGGTATGCAGACCTTAAAATGATCCTGCCAGTATTTCTGGCAAACACACATGAAGACGAAATTGAGACTTCTTCTGAACCTGGTTTTGCCAATCTGTGTTTGGGATTGAGGAGGAAGGAATAAACATACCTAGCTGTAATGTTTGGAAACCCTCTCGTTTGTCTCATTCAGCAAAAACAGTCTCTAGGCTATTTTTGGGGGGCTGAGTTAGGGTTCACCTACAGTTGATAGTTTTACTCAGATAAAAATACACGTTTAAAAAATGCAAATTTAAACCAGGGAGTAGCTATTCTAGAATCTCTTCCAGAACAGCTACCTCAAGTCCCTGTGGTAAGCACTTGCTCTTTGAGCCTACATCTAGTCGAGTTACATCCGTTCAGTTTTAACATTCTTCTTTTCACTTCATTACCTTCTTAGCCACTGAAGTCTTAGCAGGGTTTAATTTTCCAGGCTGAGTATGGCAGGCAGCCGGATGCCTGCCAGGCACTACCCTGTTCAGCAGTGGAATGTCCAGGTATTAAAGGCTCAAGTTCTTGTCCACATTCTCACCTTGTCCCATTCGGACAAAAAAAGCAAACTGCTTAGGCAATCGATTCCTCCTTCCCGCCAGGTCGCTGTTTAGCTTTTAAGCATTCCCGATTGATCTGCCCGGCGTTTGTTTGAATACCAGTTCAGTTTCATTGATTTTGTCTTGGTGTCAAGTTCTGCCTAAGGTGCATCTATAGAAAACAGCTTAAAATAGCTGGTCTTTTTAATCAGCTTCTAGTTTATTCATACCTTTCATTTATTGCTTTCTGTGTATCAAAATGTAAACTGCATTTTGTGTGGTTTTCTTTACATACTTAGCATATGGAACCGTAGCATTCTCTTAGCTGATGTTGTGAACGTGTACAGGAAGAAATCTATTCCCCATCTCATTGTCTACTCTTCAGCATAAAATTAGAGGGAGAAGTTTCTTACAAAAATAGTATAACATGTCTGCAATTGGAAATACTTTTGTACCAGCCAGAGATCAGAGAACAGAAGTAATAAGCACATCTTGGGAGTGCAGCAAAGCTCAGGAGCGGGTATTTCATCTCTCTCTCACATGTAAATGCATTTCTCGAGATATTAATGATTCTAGTTTTGCTTGAGTTGTACTAAACAGACCTCATGAAGAAAGGCATTAGCCGGCACAGTAATTTGGTGACTCTTTTTTGCCAGATTCTTGTGTTGTTAATATTTCTGTCATTATAATATCTAATTTCTGGCATAACCCCAATATTTAATGTGACAAACTGGATTCAGGCAGGCAGCCTCCTCAGAAAGGTAGTATTAAACAATGCCTGTACTATATTAAGAGATCCTTATTAGACAAATGAGAACTAATTCTGACTTGCCAATACAACATGTCTCAGCACCTTCTGCCAATTAAAATCAGCTAAAACACCTGTTTAGTGGCATTACTAACTGAGACTCTGACTTCATCAAATCACTTTACGTACCCTAGTAACTCCTGCTATGCAGTCATCTGGGTAAAATCCTTGTTTCCAGTTGCTGAAATGTAAAAATAATTGGAGCCACATTTCTGCCATCGCTCCCAATTTTGCAGAAATGAAATATAATTATTAATGAGAAACAGTGGTCTCCATCTATTAATACAGATGACTGAGTTTAAATAGGCAGCTATTAACAGAAGAGACAGAAAGATTTGGGTAAGATAATCGCTCTATAGTACACTTCGACATTGAAAATCCTGAAGACACTATTAGAGCAAAGTTAGTTGTCAGGTTAAAAACTGAACAATCATTTCCTATAAAGATTAGATCTGGATTATCAAGGAATGAAAAGCACTAATCCTAATATTCCATCCAACTGATTAATATACAGCTCTTTTAACTTCCACATGCATACTTCTACAGCAGAACACAGTATTCATAATGACATATTCAATCTCTTCTTGCTGTGAAATAATTACAAACACATAATCATGCTTCCATTTGCTATAATTTGAATGATCCCAACTTGAACGTTC